AATCATCTTCATGCATGACAATGCACCATCTCATGCTGCAAAGAATACATCTTCATCAATGGCTGCTATGAGGATAAAAGGAGAGAAAGTCATGGTGCGGCCTCCATCCTCCCCGACCTCAATCCTATTGAGAACCTTTGGAGCATCCTCAAGCAAAAGATCTATGAGGGTGGGAGGCAGTTTACATCCAAACAGCAGCTCTGGGAGGCTATTCTGACATCTTGCAAACAAATTCAAGCAGAAACTGTCCAAAAACTCACAAGTTCAATGGATGCAAGACTTGTGAAGCTGCTATCAAATAAGGGGTCCTATGTTAAAATGTAACGTGACCTGTTAAAATGTTTAAAAAGTTAAAATGTTGTTATAAGTTTGATTGAAATAGCTTTTGATTTCAGTAAATATGCTGCAAACACAACAAATGGCAATTTTCAGTTCTTTACAACCTATAAAGTGTTTTGAAACTTACTGTGCGTAATAGTTTGGAACAGTGCATTGTACGTTTTTTATGTTTAAAATAATACTGTTATCATAAGGAGATTTGTTCAATAAAATTTGAATTGTACTCTTAATAGTTGATAACATGAGAATTATGCTGACTTATTTACAGCAATTATTTAGGTAAATGAGAAAAATATAATTTGCATAATAATATGTAACAAGGTGTAGTACATCCACCGTCATTAAGGAGTTAACCATCTATGCTTTTCATTGTGTTAGGGGTCATGTTTTTTTTCCTTTAGTTTTCACCTTCCCTTTTTATTTCCTTTCTCATTATTTTAATTTCTTATCTTCTTTATTTGGGCCAACTAACATTCACAAATATGATTGATTTGGGAATGATAATTCTGAGGGCAGAGCCAATTCTCTATGACAGGACTGTCAGCCTCACAGTCCAATGTCTACACTACAAAAAAACACAGCCCTGGATTCAAATGCCAACATTACACACAAATACACCATTTTTTATTGTCGTAAGAAAGTAATAAATTATATTAAGGACATTATGAGAAGTTGTTCTTTGTGCCCGCTCTTTTTCTTGTTAGTGCAAGTGTTATACATTCTCCACATCTATTTTAGTTGACAATTTGGCCCTCCAGAACAAATGAGTTTGATACATATTGCTCAATGCCCTTCTTTGTAATATATTACATCCATCCAGTACTAATGCAAAGCCATATTCAGAGATATAGTCAGTAACTCTTATCACTTCAGCCAAAGTATCTTGAAAAGAAACGTTCCAATTTAATGCATTGCTTGTATCTATAGAATACATTGGGTTTGTGACAGGTTAATATGTTTCTGATTTGTTAGATAATGTCACACAACTGTCAAGATGTACAAAAAAACAAAAAAGCATGTCATGGGTCTTGGGACTCTGTGATTGGACAGCCACAGAAAGTCTGGGCGGGGTTAGAAGGCGAGGGCTTGCAAAGGCAGCAGACAATAGTGTGGCCCTTGTTGCTTAAATCAATAATTTCACGCTTTCAGAGTGTATTGTTCGTTTGGTTGTATTTTTGTTGTGGCCATTTAATACCAGCTACTAGCACAAGTCAGATAATGCTCACTACTATTCAGCTGTATTCAGTTAAGGATTTGCGACTCATTTTTTCATTGTGGTTTCATGTAAGACAGTACAAGACAAAGATCTCCCTCTTGGATGAGTGCATATGTTGCCGAGCATAGTTGGAAAGTACTCCTAGTTGGTATAAAATAGCCAATTTCTTAAAATGCATCTTAAACACCAATATCTACTAACCTCCTTGGCAACATTTATACTTTAGATTAAGAATTCAATGTAGCTTCTGTCCCAGCATGGGGTAATGAGCTTCTGAAATTCAATAATATTACAATTTCTGCTTCAGAGCTTCAATTTGCACATTATTATTGGAGATGTGATGCAGTATCTTTATTTATGCGAGTGATGCATTCCAGAGTAGAAGAACATTTTCCTTTTAAATAAAAATTAACCTCTACAAAAAAACAGCTATATCATGGAACTGCAATTAAACGAATATATTTTAAAAGACATTCTAAACAGCAGGCATCGTTTTCTGACCTTATATAATTGCTGCAGAGATTCTCACACAATCCTCTAAGGAACCTGTTGTGTATAACGTACTGCTATTTCTGCCCATGCTGCAGATACTGAGAAAAACAAGCTATTAACGAAGACTGTGGGGATTGCATAATTATCTGCCATGACTTGCCAACTGATTGCACTCAGGAAAGTACCTCCCATTACTGTACTGGAATATTTAAAGCACCGGACCCACCAGAAAGCAGATTTTGTACAATTATTAATGAGCATGGGAGGAGCAATCACTCATTTGTTAATGAAAAGATTTTTATTAAAAAGGCTAGCACAATTAGAATTTTTGTTGTATTTCCTGAAAAGTCATTGAAGGTCTACAAAAGTTAGGAATGATTTCACTATGCAATTGATTGTGGCAAATTATTAGTAGAATTGAACATTTTAGTGCAGGGCTAATTATTAGCATCCAGATTGGCCAGAATTGGTTATGGTGCTGAAGAGGAGTCAAATCATGAAGGACACCACTCTAACAGAGCTAAACATTAGACTTTGTCAATTCAGTTGAAATGGCAGAATTCCGAACAGAATGGCAATTCACACATTTATTAAAGCCAAATCTGGTCAGAATTTGGCCACTCCAACCGAATTTGCACCAATTGGCGGAATGCTTTCAGTGTCCAAATTAAAATCTGTGTTTTTCGCATTCGAACCCTACACAAATTATTCTTAGAGCACAAAGATTAACCATGCGGCGGCTGGTCAGCGGATTCTAGCCAGATGAAACATTAAAATGTAAAAGTATATATTTTTCAATATCCTATGTCAGTCTGTAAAATAAATCGGGAAAGCTGCAAAATAATAGGGAGGACTAAGTCCCACCCATACCAACACCAATGAGCATCAGGTGGTGGAATTTAAATGAAATAATAGGTGGTAGACAGATCACTGTCCACCTCGCTTCCCTCACCCATGGCCAGCGGGTGGGGTTTATTAAATTTTAAGAAAGGTGGACATTATTATGTCGTCCTTTGCTTACACCTGTGATGAGCAGGTTGGGGTTACTTATTTTTTTTTTTTTTGACATTCTTTATTTCAATTTTGTTTCATTCTTCCAAGTTACAATCATGCATTAATGTGTTTAAACATGAATAGACAATATGTATCGGCTTTCATCAAGGTAAACAGTATACTTGAACACAACTGGATATTAATCGCATCTAAAATGTGCATTTAGTAACCTTTATGTGGCATATCTTGCGTCGAGAAGCCAATATGTGTAGAACTGCGCGTCCAACCAGCTCATATTGTGAGCTTTCTGGGAATTTAAATTAAACTAGCTCGGGCTGTAGTCAGGTGCATGAAACAATCCGTGATCCTGGTAAGTGGGCGTATGTTCAAGACTTGAGTTACTGTCTAGTGCCAGGCAGGTATGTCTATATACAGCAGGTGTACCTATCATCAGCCTGCACTGCAGCATGTTACCGCCTCTCGTTGTGGCCTTGTGTCCAGCTTTCCTTTTCCCTCTTCCCCGTGTCACCCTCCCCCGCCCCTCTCCACTCCCTTTCCACTTGTGTAGTTATATTTCCCTCTGTGAGTCGCGTGTAGTGCACTTATCAGGTTGGTAGTCGTATGTCTTGTGATAGTAGAGCTAGCACCGTGTTTACGAGCCTCCCAGTTGTAGGGTTCGGGTAGATACGTGTGTATTATGACCTATCGGCCCGGGGCTATGTTTTATGGGACGTTGATTTGTGCGTAACTGTAGGTTGCTGCCTCCGTCCCTAGTAGGTTCGTGTGGGGAGTCCTTCCCATGGTGTTCTCTTGGTAAGGTGGTGGGAGGCCTAGGAGTCGTATCCCCACCTCCCCCTCAGTCTTTCTGTCCGGCTAGTCCCCACTAGTCTGATGTTTAGGTATGCGTGCTCTGGCCGTTGGTAGGGAGCGTGGAGGATGCGCGGGGGACGTTGGGGGCAAGTAGCTAGGCATTACCTATCTTAATGTATTGTGTACGTCCTCCGCCTTCATGTGTTGGGGTGTCTCTCTCCCCCCTCCCTCTTCTACCCAATCTATCTTTCTATGTTCCCTTCAGTTTCGGGGGTTAGTTTACCGTTGTTGGTGCCAGTTGCATCTCAGACCTTGGGGATCTCGGCGGGCTCAGATTGCGTTGGTGTTGTCTGTGCGCACCGTGAGTCTCTTTCTGTCCATCCTATTGTATGTATCAGCTTTTGTGTTTCGGGATACTTCCTGTCCTTGCTTTATTTGTCCATGCCTAGTTTCTGTCGGGGGTGGAGGGTCTGGGGTTGGGATAGGGTCGGGATGGGTTGTGAGTTATGTCCATTCTTGTGGGTTTTAATCGGTCATACTGGCTCCGGAGGGGGCGAGGTCCCCAGCCGGGGGTGTATGTGCCACCGCAGCGGGCCCCCCCCTCCTCCCCGCATCTGCTCCAGCTGCCACCTTGGATACATAGTCCATCCACGGGAACCAAGTCAGGGAACATTTTTCCGCGCGACCCTGCAGGGAGGCCGTCATCCTTTCCATATTATAGATCTCTTCAACCCTGTCTATCCATTGTTGGTATGTGGGAGCTGTGGGGTTTTTCCACATCGTCGGAATGAGTGTTTTTGCAGCCGTCAACAGGTGTATGACGAGGCCTCTCTTGTATGCTTTCAGGGGTGTGTGGGTGTGATTTAGCAACATTGGCAGTGGCTGGAAAGGTATCTCTGTTCCCGTAATTTCTTTTATCAATCGGTGGACCATTCGCCAGAAGGGTATGATGTGCGTGCACTTCCACCAAATGTGTATTCCGGTGCCTAATTCTGTGCCGCACCGCCAGCATTCGCCTGGGACCGAGACGTGGATGTGCCGTAGCACATCAGGGGTCCGGTACCAGTGTGTCAAAATTTTGTAATTACATTCTTGGAATTTAGTGCTTATGGATCCCTTGTGTGTGAGTTGGAATATTTTATCCCATTCGCTATCTGTGAGTATGACATCTGCGTCTCTTTCCCATCGTGTAGTGAACCCCAGCGGTGGTTTGTTACCGCTGTTTTGGAGCATGGTATACAGGATCGAGACTCCATGTGGGAGGTGGTGTCTGTCTGTGCATAATTGTTCCAGGTAGAGCAGTGGACGGTGCAGGTGTCCCCTGCCTTTCAGAGCGGCAGCGTACGTTTTTATTTGATGGTATCGAAACTCGTCCATTCTAGTTGGTCGGCGGTCTTGTAGTAGATCTCCTATTGTTTTTAGGTTCGGCCCGTCACACCATTGGCTCATGTATACCCAGTCTGTGGCTCCCAAGTTCCTGAGGTCGGCCGGGCTAAGCCCTCCCGCCAGCTTTGGGTTGTTGGTGATAGGTGTAAGCGGGTTGGGGGACGTCGTGAGGTTCCCGTTGTAGCGAACCCTGCACCAGACCTGCAGCGTGGCGTTTATCATTGGGTTGTCCGTGCGTATGTTCTCAAAGGATGTTTCGCCCAGCCACAGTTGGGCGGGGATTTTGCCTAGGGCTTGTTGTTTTTCTATGTGGACCCATTGTTTAGTGGTCGGGTTAGCGTGCCAATCGACCAGTCGATGTATGTGGGTTGCCTGGTAGTATGTGGTGATCGACGGGAGTCCCGTTCCTCCCTGGCTTTTTGGTCGTTCTAAGGTGGACCGTTTCACGCGTGATGGTTTGTGGTTCCAGACGAACTGTCGGATGGTAGTCGTAATTGCTTGAAAGAACCCTCTGGGGATAGATGTTGGTAATGTCTGGAATAGGTATAGAATGCGAGGCATGACATTCATTTTTATCGCGTTTATGCGTCCAAACCAGGAGATGTACTGGGCCGTCCACCGTTTTATATCCAGTTGTAAGGTTGCTAGAAGGGGTGCGAAGTTCAGTTGGTATATGCGCGTCGTGTCCTCGGGTAGCCAGACGCCAAGATATCTCAATTTGGAGGTGCATATTCTGAAGGGGAATTGCGTTTGGATGTGTTGCTGGAGAGTCGCGTCCCTCGTGAGCAGCATTGCCTCGGATTTATCCAGATTTAGCTTGAGGTTGGATACCTCGCTGTAGGTTCGGAATGTGTCCAGGAGGTTCGGTGTCGACACCCTAGGTTGCTCCAGGAAAAATAGCATGTCGTCGGCATAGGCCGCTACTCGATGTTCCTGTCCGCCTATGCTAAATCCCGTGATCCCTCCATGCCGTCTGACCGCTTCGAGGAAGGGTTCGAGGGTGAGGGCGAATAGAAGGGGGGATAGGGGGCATCCTTGCCTTGTGCCATTGCTTATGTCAAATGAGTCGGTCAGGGCTCCATTGACACGTATGCGTGCAGTCGGCGTGGTGTATAGCGCGGCTACCCAGGTTCGCAGCCGTGGACCAAACCCCATGTGACTCAGGGTCGCTGCCATGTAATCCCAGTCTACCCGGTCAAATGCCTTTTCGGCGTCGGTGGATAGAAGCACCATGTCTCGTTTGCCGGCCACTGTTGCGTGTATGATGTTAAGGGCTCGGATGGTATTGTCCCTAGCCTCCCTCCCGGGTATGAACCCGACCTGGTCCGGGTGGATCAGGTCGGGGAGCGTCTGCGCTACTCTGGTGGCCATGGCTTTGGCGAAGAGTTTTATGTCCGCGTTTAGTAGGGAGATTGGACGGTAGCTGGCACAGTTAGTTGGGTCTTTTCCTTCCTTCGGTATGATCACGACCGTTGCCCTCAGGGTGTCCGTAGGGAATCGTCCTCCTTCTTGGAGGGAATTGATTCCGGTGAGGAGTCTAGGAAGGAGAACGTCCTTAAAGGTGCGTATATACGCTATAGGGAGGCCGTCTGGTCCCGGAGCCCTGTGGGGTTTGGATGTTTTCAAGGCTCCCGCTAATTCCTCAATTGTAATGGGTTGTTCTAGGTCGGCCTCTTGTTCAGGCGTCAGTTTACGGGTGGTATGTTCTTCCAAGTATGCAGCTATCCGTGCCTGGTGTTGTGCTACTGTATTTCCCGTTTTGTGCTGTGCTTGGTCGTATAGCGTCCTGTAATATTCTTTGAAAGCCGTTAGGATGCCCTCCGGAAGCCGGGTGATAGCGCCTTCTTTCGTGTGTATCTTGTGGACGTGTCGTGTTCTCCGTTTTTCCTGGAGCATCTTCGCCAACAGCCGTCCACTTTTATTCGAATGTTCGTAGAAGTATCGGGATGTTTTCCTGGCTGTGTGGAGTAGTCCTTGGGTCAATATGTCCCGAAGCTCTCTGCGAGTTTCCGTGAGTCGGAGGTATGTGTTATCATCCAAAGTGGATTTATGGGTTTGCTCAAGCTCAGCTATGCGGCTTGTCAGGTTAGCAATTTGCGTCGTCCTTTGTTTTTTGCGGCGGGTGCAGCTCGTGATAAGGTGTCCACGGATGACACACTTATGCGCTTCCCAGAGAGTCAGTGGCTGTATGTCCGGACTTTCATTTGTCGAGAAGTAGTCATTTAGGGCCTGGTTCATAGCTGTGGTAAATTCCAGGTCGTCCAGCATGGATTCATTAAGTTTCCACTGTCTGTCTCTGGGTTTAAAGAGCGGGGATTGTGTATCGATCAGAACCGGTGCGTGGTCAGAGTGGTCCATGATGCCGATGTCTGCGCTACGTAGTAGGTTAAGATACTCCTGGGCCATGAAAATGTAGTCGATTCGACTATAGTGTCCGTGTACCGCGGAGTAGTGGGTATAGTCTCGGGCGTCTGGGTGGTACGTCCTCCAGCAGTCCACTAGCCCCATCTTGTGCAGGAGTCGTTGCGTGGCTTTCAGGCAGTGTGTGGGGATCGCACTTTGGCCCCTCGAGGTGTCACGTATGGGGTCCAACGGCATGTTTAGATCTCCTGCTGCTATCAGTAGGCCCCCTCTGAACTTCTCCAGTTTGGCTAGCGCCTGGCGCATGAACGTGTGTTGCTTTCTGTTTGGTCCGTATAAGCACGCGAAGGTGTATTCATGGTCTGCGATGGTGCCTCTCAAGAAGAGGAACCTCCCATTCGGGTCTGCTAGAGTTTGTGTAGTTTGGAATGGCACCGAGTGGGCGAATAGAATGGCGACTCCGGCCTTTTTGGTGTCGGGGTGGTTAGCGTAGAAACCCAAAGGGAATCGCCGGTTTTCTAATTTGGGTGCGTCTCCACCTTTGAGATGGGTTTCTTGCAGGAAAACGACGGAGGCCTTAGCACTCCACAGTCGGCGGTGCAAGTGGGCCCGTTTTTCTGGGGAGTTGAGTCCCTGGACGTTGTTAGACCAATACGTCAGCTGGGCCGGGGCAAACGCCCGGGTGGCAGCCATTTTGGGAGGGGGGGGGCCCCGCCCGCAGCGGCACAGGAGGGGCGAGGGGGAAGGCTGTCGTCTAGAGTGCGGGTTTTAGGGGGATAGGGTTATCTGGGGTCAGTAGGACCCGTGAGCGGGGTTAGTTTGGGTGTGACGTCGACCCTGTACCGGATTTTGGGGGTTCTCGGGGGTTGGTTACCTGACCTTCCCTGAGGTTCCGGTATAATTTACAGGAGGGTCTGTCTCAGTGAGGAACAGTGTCGTCTTGACCAATGGGGTGGTTCGGTCTAGTGGTCAATTGTCATCTACTATCTCCTTCGGCTCCCAACCTGTATTGGACTTTCGTATTAGCTATGTCTCTCTGTGTAGTGTTGAAGATGGGGTGCATGGTAGCGGGTCTCTGCTCCCGCATGTCGCTATGGGGCCGTTTGTGTGTCTTGTTGTGTGCTGTTAAGGGGGTGCGTCCCTCCCAGTCTCCCCCTTCATTATGCGTGTTCGTGGCTGTCTGAGCGAAACCCTTGCTCATCCATGGCCGTATTTGGGTCGGGGTTCAGCGGTGTTATTGGGAAGAGTTGGTGCATGTGTGCGCGGTGGGTCCGCAAGAGTCAGTGGCGCCGGGCGTGGGGTGTTACCTCCTGTCGGCGCGGTGTCAGACGGGCTGAGTTTGGGTCCGATCGTCCCGGAGTGGTGCCCTTGATGTCTGCCCGTGGCTTGGGTTCCGTTAGGCGGGCCCAAGGATCGCTATTCGGGTCCCAAGTCTCGTCATCTGGGGGCCCCGTTGCCGTCCGTCTTGGAGGGCTTCTCCAGCTTGGGGCATATCGGGGGTGTGCGGCGTCGTGGTAGTGTGTCTGCCTCGTTACTGTCTGGTAAGTGTAGCGTGCGTGGCACGTGGGGGAGCAGGAGTGAATGCGCATGCAGGTCAGGGACGGACTGTGTGCGGGGGGGGGGTCATGCCTGCAGCTGAGTTACTGTCTTTGTTTTGCTACGTTAAAGGCCGAGCAGTCCCTGATCCCCTCAGTCTGTCTTCTGTGTTCGCGTGATGTGTCCCTCATCCCCCCCCTCCACATCTGTCAGCCCGTCCCCCGTGATTCCCGAGTATTGTGCCATTGTCGTGCCCTAGACGTCCGTACATCTCTTTGGTCCACTTATAAACACTCTTAGCCCCTCCCTATGTGATCGCTGATGCACTGGGCCCGGTGTGACGCGCAGGGTATCTCTTCTAGTGCGTATATGTGTCACTCTGATGGGCGCTCTTTGCGGCTACCGTGGGCATTAACTTATCTAGTGGAATATTTACAGCAGTGGGCCCTCCCGTCCACCACTCTAGTTCCCAACATGTGACACCCGTGTCCCTCGTTAACCAAACACCACCACCCACTCCCGGATCCCCCCCTGACCTCCCGGCAACAGTTCGATCTGCTGTCCGTTGTACAGCTATGTTTAGCAACCGTTTGAGGTGGGAATTCGTCCTGTTGAGGGCCTGGTTGCCTTCTTTGGGGAGTTCCACTTTGTCCCATGAGACCCCTCTCCCATGAAATTCCCCCCCTCCCAACCTGGCAGGGAACCCCGCTGTAGGAGCTTGGCTTTTGGTAGGACCGGGTGGTACTATCCTCTATAGCTGACCCCCGGGCTGCCCCGCCACCCCACCTAGACAGGCTCCCCCCTTGCCCCTTGACTAGTGTAGTGGCAGAGTACATACCCTTGGCTGGCCGGAGCGTGGAAAGTCCCGGGCTGGGAGGAATCCGAGGGGGAGAAGGGCCACGGCCGCAGGGTTCCGGTGCCGGAGCGGCTCAGGGGGGGTAGTTCCCGTGGCTGTTTAGGGACGGTGTTGGTTTATTCTTCCGAGTTCTCCGGGCCTCCCCTGCGTTGTGGAGGGGTGGGTCCCGGGCGGAGGTTATGAGCTACTTCTGACGGACCCGTGGCCCGGGCTGGGGGACCCTCCAGGATCCAATTCGGGATCTGTATCATGGGTAGGCCCGCGGCTTGTAGAAAGCGGGGGACGTCGTTCGGCCAGCGGATTATGTGCCAGACATTGCCTGAGCGGGCTTGGAGGCTGAATGGGAACCCCCATTTATACGGAACCCTTCTCTCCTGCAGCATCCGTGTCAGTGGTCTAAGTGCTCGGCGGGCATCCAGGGTAATAGTGGACAGGTCCTGGAAGAGGGAGACCTGGGAGTCCATGTATGTGATCCTTTGCTGCGCCCTCGCTGCTTGCATTATGGCCTCCTTTAGTTGGAAGGATTCTAGGGAGCAGATGATGTCGCGTGGGAGGCCGTCCCTTCTAGGTGCCCGCAGGGCTCTGTGGGCCCTTTCCAGACCGAAGTCACTAGGAGCCTCACTGCCCATGAGGTGTGTGAACAGGCCTGTTAGGACTTCTTGGGGGATTTCTCCCTCAGTTTCTGGGAGGCCTCGGACCCTTATGTTTTTGCGACGACCTCTGTTGTCGAGGTCCTCCACTTGGCGGCGGATGTCCAGGAGAATGTTTCCCTGCCGCCCCGTAGCCAGTTCAGCCGCTTGCATTGTTTGGGTGTCCAAGCTATCTATGCGTTGTTCCAGGGCCGAGAGGTCCCTGCGGACCGCCGTGATCTCCTCCCGGATAACGGCCTTCAATTCCGCGACCATGTCTGACTTATCTTTGCGGGTGAGCATGTTATTAGTTATAGTTGCCAGGTCTGCAGATATTTGGGTCAGCGTAGGGGTCGCCGGAGGAGTCTGGTCCGAGAGCGCCATGCTTGAGGTCGGAGAGGACGGCGTCGGCGTGGCGGGGCCGTCCAGGCCTCGCGGGCCCTGGGATGCCTGTAAGTATTCGTCCATCGGGCCGGGGTTATATTTCGCCGGCGTGACACCGGAGTTACCAGCTGCGTTTGTCCTCTTGCTTTTCCCCATCTTTTTTGGCTGTTTATGGCGCTATTTGCCGGGGTTTACCAGGTTGGGGCCTAGGAGCTTAGGAGTAGTGCGTCTTACTCCATCGGTAGTCAGGACACGCCCGGGGGTTACTTATTTACGAAGGAGACTTAGTGTACTCTCCAGACCCCACTCTTTGGCAGTGGGTGCGGACTCCAATTATAACACAAGAGGGAGAACTTAGTGTACCCCCCAGGACCCAGCCATGAGCGGTAGGTGGGGGCTACTAATAAAATACAAAAAAGCACCAGCCACTGTCCATTAACCCTACCTACATTCACTCACCCTAATAAGTACGGGAATAAGCCTGGGAATATCCCCATGGCTATTCCTGAAAGAAGTGGGACTTGCCTGTCAGAGTGTTCTGATTGGTTGGCTTAGAAGCAAGTTAATCGGTGAGCACTAATGAAAATTTAAAGTTTGGGAATGCCTTTATAAAGGCTTTTCCTGCCCTGAAACTCATTCTGCAAGAAGCCCTTGTGGGCGAAGCTGAAACAATTTTTTGGTCGTGTCAGGTTTCCAATTTTATCATTGGGTTTTTATTTTTATTAGCTGCGTTGCATTTTTCTGGAGTTTATTTTGGCCTTTTATGTGGCTGAAGAAAAGAAGATTTAGAAGACAGAAGACATCTTCATTTTTACAGATATTAGCTTTATTGTCCCCCTCACTATTATAAGGTTGATGGGGGATAAGTTGGATTACTTTATTTTAATTGGTGTGAAGTGGCTAGGAGACCATCAGCCACCGGGAGTGGGACAATGGCACAAATTTTACATGGTGAACAATGATGTGTTCATCTCCTGTTGTATATTTTATTGATAGTCCCCACCCATTGCATATGGAAGGGGGCTGTGGGATACACCAGGTCCCCCAGGTATAAATTTAGTAGCCCCACTTTCCGCCTATGGACAGGTCCTCCTATGTTTAATAACTACGCCCCTCCATTTTTTTAATTTTGGTGTCAAACATATAGGAATAGGATTGCTATCGCTGCTTAGACATCATTAGCGGCTCATCCGCTCAGCATTATCATGTCAAAGAATAGCAGATATGAGATTGTAGGTCCCACAAATGATTGGTAACTGGTTGAAAACAGTATGTTTACAGACACATTCTGAGTGGAGTTGAATTAATGCAAACAGGGTTCCTCTTAGAATATTGGGTCCTGATAACTATGGAGACCTGTGCGGGGGTAGATATAACAATATCCTTCTGGCTGCTATGGTAGTAGAATCTCTGCATTGAGAGCCACACTATAAGATGTTGTGTAGATCCAAAACCATGATCTTATTTTGGCAATGTTTTGACTGGTTTAGACTGTAATTAGTAATTACCAAATTAGTTGCGCTATATTACCATGTATTGATATTGTTCCCAAATAACCTAGAAACCTTTTCTTTGCCTTGCATTCTTCTTTAAACGGTTGCATAATTCTTTGCTTGTATTTGAATAACTTGCCTTCAGTTAATAAAATATTTGCTGTCGACTGAAACATTCTTCTTGTACCACCCAAACCACTTCCTGTGATGCTGGGTTCTTCTGTGAGAAAGATAACATTCTATACCTGTTTGCTAAAGGTGGTGTATCACAAAAGCGCAGACAACGCAACATGTAGACTTCCTGTGAGTATAGATATACATATGACTAATTTACTTTTGAAGCGGTGGCTCAATCTACATACATATACACATTAATTTACTCTTACATTACAAAATTACTGCTTATCAAACGTCACAGCTGGAGGAAAAGTCACGATGTTGTATTTATATAACATTTTCATTTTATTTTAGATCTTGTCTTAATTAACCCTTTTACTATCCAGCTTTTAGAAAATCATATGATATATATATATATATATATATATATATATATATATATATATATATATATATATATATTTGCAAGAAAAAGTATGTGAACCATTTGGAATGATATGAATTTCTGCACAAATTGGTCATAAAATGTGATCTGATCATCATCTAAGTCACAACAATAGACAATCACTGTCTGCTTAAACTAATAACACACAAAGAATGAAATGTTGCCATGTTTTTATTGAACACACCATGTAAACATTCACAGTGCAGGTGGAAAAAGTATGTGAACCCCTAGAC